GGAAGAAACTCCTGGCTCCTGGCTTTGGATTGGCCCAGCTCCAGCCATTGTGACCATTTGGGGAGTAAACCAGCAGATGAAAGAACTCTCTCTCTCTTTCTTTGTCTCTGCTTCTTTGTAACTCTGCCTTTCAAATAAGGAAATAAAAAAATCTTCTAAAAAACCAATTTAAAAACTGCACCCCTGGGGCCAGTGCTGTGGAACAGTGGGTTAAACCACCCACTTGTGACACTGGCATTCCCTATTGGAGTGCCAGTTTGATTCTCGGCTACTTTGCTTCCAATCCAACTTCCTGCTATTGTGCATGGGAAGGCAGAGGAAGATGGCCCAAGTACTGAGGCTCCTGCCACCTTTGTGGGAGACCTGGCTACTTCCTGGCTCCTGGCTTCAGCCTAGGCCATCCCAGCCCAACATTGTGGCACAGTGGGTTAAACTGCCACCTGTGATGCTGGCACCCCATATGGTTTGTGTTCCAGCCGCCCCACTCCCAGTCCAGTTCCTTGCTAATGGCCTGGGAAAGCAATGGAAATTTGAAGAGTGAATCAGCAGATGAAAGATGTCTTAATATCTCTCTATCTTCTCTTCCTCTTTCTCTGTAGCTTTGCCTTTTAAATAAATAAATAGTCCTTTCTTTTTTTTTTAAGTGTACCCCTGCATTTATGTCTCCCAGCAGTCTTTCAGTTGTGACTCACCTGAACATATTTAGCCTTTGCTCGCTTTTCTGATGATGTCTTAATTTTCTCTATTCTTTTTTAAGGTTTTATTTGGGAAAAAAAAAAATTCAAACTTTAAAGAAAATTGTCAGAATAGTTCAAAGAGCACCCAAATACAAATAGTCTTCACCTAGCTTCACTATGTTAGGTTTTTTTTTTTTTTTTTTTTTTTTTTTTTTTTTTTTTTGGACAGGCAGAGTGGACAGTGAGAGAGAGAGACAGAGAGAAAGGTCTTCCTTTTCCGTTGGATCACCCCCCCAATGGCCGCCGCGGCCGGTGCGCTGCGGCCGGCGCACCGCGCTGATCCGATGGCAGGAGCCAGGAGCCAGGTGCTTTTCCTGGTCTCCCATGGGGTGCAGGGCCCAAGCACCTGGGCCATCCTCCACTGCACTCCCTGGCCACAGCAGAGGGCTGGCCTGGAAGAGGGGCAACCGGGACAGAATCCAGCACCCCGACCGGGACTAGAACCTGGTGTGCCGGCGCCGCTAGGTGGAGGATTAGCCTAGTGAGCCACGGCGCCGGCCCACTATGTTAGTATTTTAACCCATTTGCTTTCTCTCTCTCATTTTTTTCTGTTTCTTTCCCTCCACACACACATATATAATAAATAAATACTTATGAGGCTACTTCTAAAGTTTGTGGAAAATGGGATTAGAAGATAACTGTATTTTGGTGCAGAAAAAATTTAAAGCCATCAAATTTTTCTGAAATTAATCACTTATTTTATTTTATTTGAAAGGCAGAGACACACAGAAATAGAGACACAAAGAGAGATCTCCTATTGCTGGTTTACTACCCAAATACCTGAAACAGCCAAGGTTGGGCCAGTCCAAAGTCAGGAGCCAGGTACTCAATCCAGAATCCCCTCATGGGTGGCAGGGATTGAACTACTTGGGCCATCATCTGCTGCCTTCCAGGGTGCCCATTAGCAGGAAGTAGAGCAGGACTCGAACCTAAGCACTCTGAGATGGTATAGTAGCATCCCAAGCAATGGCTTAGCAGTTCATGCCAAATGAACACCCACGCATAATTTTTTCATAATACACACTTCTAGGAATTTTCAGAAGACTCTTTGTATATAGAAATACAAATTATGAAAGAATTGTGTTATATTTCAAAACTTTTTAGCACCAAAATGAATTTATCCTTTAATTCCATTTTCCATGAACTTTTTGAAGTATGTGTGTGTATATATGTGTATGTGTTTCTTTGAACCATTTGAAGATATAATAAATTCAGTATGGCCTTTTTCCTCTAGGTATCTCAGCCTGCCTATCCTCAGGGCAGTAATATTTTATATAACCACACTTGGTATCATAAATTTACATGAAATATTTGAATGTACTATCCATATTTCAATTTTGTCAGTTGACCTACAGATCTCCTCTGTAACATTTGCTCTTCCAGCACAGAATCCACTCTCGGATCAGATTCAGTCCCTTTAATCAGAAATTGTTCCACAGCTTGTCTGTGTCTTGTTATGAGTGACATTTCTGAAGAATGTAGAACTCATATAGATTTTTTAAATGAATATTTCCTCATTTTGAGCTGTTCTGATATTTCCTCTTGATTGGCATAAGGCTGTATATTCCCAGTCCAGAAGGCCACAGAGATGGGACGGGAACAAAAGGAAAGCTTCCTGGACCCTCTGAGAACTGACCACAGCCAGATTAATGGGAGAAAAAGGATCGTAGATGTATTAACATTTTGGGGGACAATCAAAGGAGTGTGCTTACCCCGTCGCCTAGAGGTGACCCAGATGCTCTGTGTGCCCTTCTTCCTAGAGGACAGGAGATACTGAATGTTACAGCTGTGTGTTTTTGATGGAGACAAAATACCAGCTTTATCCCTGATGAAGCTATGCTGAAGGAAGTGATGTGATTGTGTGGCCAGGAAGCACTTTTATAAAAACCGTTTTAATTATTTAATAGTCCACAAGGGTTTTACATAATGCAATACTTGCGTGTATGGGATTCAGAGTGATATTTCAAAACACTTGTACATTGTGTACTGATAAAATAATTGTAATTAGCATTTCCGTATTATCATCATTTCATATAATTATTTTATGTTTGGGTTCTTGTCTTCTATTTCTTCTCTCTGCGTTTGGTACCCATTATCCAGACTCCCCATATCCCTGTCCTCATCCTTCCCCAAATTCTAGTAATCACAGGAATGTGGTAATTTTTGAAATTTTAGGTGAATAAATGAGCCCAATATTTAGACAGTAGTTAGTAAATGATTCTCTTTGGGCACTGAATGAGTCTGGGAAGGCAGACAATAGCCTACGAAAAAATTTGTTCAGGTGTGGTTACAATCCTTAATCTTCCTTTCTGCAGATAGGAGTTTACTTAATGAAAACTCAGGGAATGGGCTAAAGGCAATTTCTTCCTTGACAAATGCAGTCTTTAACAGATAAGGAAATATCAGAGTCAAACCTCTTCCAGCATCTGCTGCTCTCCAGGAGTCTTTAATTTACAGTAATCAGCATACCAGCATGCCATATTTTTAGCAAAGTGTTTCCTGAGTCCCAGCAGTGGGGACGTCTTCTGAGGGCATCACATCTGGTGGCCCATGATAACCATCTCCCCCTTCCTAGTGCTGTTCATTTCAACCCGTCAAAGGTGTTGCTCAGTTTTCTGTCATATTGTTCTTTTTCTCTCCCAATTAATAAAAACTTGTAAGAGACACTAAATATATGAGAAATGTGACATATTAGGCTAAGCCTCCGCTTGCGGCACCAGCATCCCATATGGGTGCTGGTTTGTTTCCCAGCTGCTCCTCTTCAGATCCAGCTCTCTGCTGTGGCCTGGGAAAGCAGTAGAAGATGGCCCAAGTGCTTGGGCCCCTGCACCTGCTTGGGAGACCCTGAAGAAGCTCCTGGCTCCTGGCTTCAGGTCAGCCTAGCTCTGGCTGTTGCAGCCATTTGGCAAGTGAACCAACAGATGGAAGACTCTCTCTCTCTCTCTCTCTCTCTCTCTCTCTGCCTCTCTGTAACTCTGCCTTTCAACTAAAAATAAATATTTAAAAAAATAAATACTTGAAACTACCATGATCCTCACTAATTATATGCACATTATGAAAAAACTATGCATAGATTTCAACTATTTTATTGCACCAAAAATTTTTTTAAACTAAATTTTTCCAAGAGCTTTTTAAAAAAAATTTATTTATTCATTTGAAGGGTAGAGTTAGAGAGAGAGAGAGACAGAGACAGAGACAAAGAAAAGTTGTCCATCCACTTGTTCAATTCCTAAATGGCTGCAACAGCTGGAGCTGAGCTGATCTGAGGCCAGGAGCCAGGAGTTTCCTCTGGGTCACCCACATGGGTACAAGGTCCAAGGGCTTGGGCCATCCTCCACTGCTTTCCCAAACGCACTACCTGGGAGCTAGACCGAAAGTGGAGCAGCTGGGACTTGAACCGGCACCACAGGCAGCAGCTTCACCCACTATGCCACAACGCTGGCCCCCAAGAACTTCTGAAGTCCCCTCATATTTGAATATTTGAGACTCCTCTCTGTCTCCTGTTCAGGGTTCCTCTTCACTTTTCAGAAGCTGTAGTTGCCCCTAGTACTCTCCTGTGGATCTTCACATCAGAAAAATTGAAGCTTTTGTTATTTGTGTGTTTGTTTAACCAGAGCTTTAGTTTCTCTGCATGGTGTAGTCTAAATCTGCTCTTAGGCTGAAAATCATTAAGAACAAACAAAAAAGCAAAAAAACCAACCAACCTGCCTCATGCTGTAATGTCGTTCTAGCTGTGAACTTACTGCAGAATATTCCTGCTTTGGTAACATTATAATATCTTCACATAGGTTTCGTTTGTTTTTTAAGGTTGTCCAAGGCTTTTTCTTTTTACATAAATACAGATCAATCTGATAGTTTACTTGACCATTGTAGAAATGGACTGGATATTACTTCTATGAATAAATAATAATATGAAATCATTAAAAGAAATTCATTTTATGGGGCCAGCGTTGCGTGTAAAGCCCATTTGAATCCCAGCTGTTCCACCTCTGATCCAGCTCTTTGCTAATGGCTTTAGAAAAGCAGGGGAAGATGGTCCAAGTGCTTGGGCCCCTGTACCCACGTGGGAGACCCGGAAAAAGCTCCTGGCTCCTGGCTCCTGGCTTCAGCCTGGCCCAGCCCCAGCCATTGTGACCATCTGGGAACTCTTTCAAATTAACAAATAAGTCTTTTAAAGAAAAAGTTCCATTCTACATATTCATAAAATAATGATGTAGAAAAAGAGTATTTTGAAATAACGTATTTGCTTTTCTATCATTTTAGGAATAAATCTAATGAAGCTGATGAGTGTCAAAGAAAACTTAGAAAACTGAAGTTTGAAGCCATTATTTCTGAGTCACGGTACACATTTTAAAATTTAAAATTTTATATTGTTAATTATTGGGGAGTGGATCAGTGGAAGGAAGATCTTGCTCCACCTCTTCTCTCTCTGTAACTCTGCTTTCAAATAAATAAATAAAAATATTTTTAAAAATAAAAATAAAATATATTTCACTTATTATTTTCTTATTTTTTTCCATATACAGTACCTAATTTGGGCTTATGTCTTAACAATTTTCATTGATTTTACCTCTGCCTTGATAGGAATATATTAACATCACAGAACTAACAATTTTAATAACACCTTAAATTTTTAAAGTTATGATTATTGCCTATAATTTTAAAGGAGCATTTCATATTTTTTTTTTTTGACAGGCAGAGTAGACAGTGAGAGAGAGAGAGACAGAGAGAAAGGTCTTCCTTTTCCGTTGGATCACCCCCCCAATGGCCACTACGGCCAGCACACCGTGCTGATCCGAAGCCAGGAGCCGGGTGCTTCTCCTGGTCTCCCATCAGGTGCAGGGCCCAAGGACTTGGGCCATCCTCCACTGCACTCCTGGGCCACAGCAGAGAGCTGGACTGGAAGAGGAGCAACCGGGACAGAATCCAGCGCCCCGACTGGGACTAGAACCCAGGGTGCCGGCGCTGCAGGCAGAGGATGAACCTATTGAGCTGTGGTGCCGGCCATTTCATATATTTTTGATAAATATTTAAATAATATCTAATTCATATTAGGATCTTTTTTTCTGTCCTTTTTTAGGCACACTAGGCTACTTAAAGAAAAAGAAGACTCTCTAATGAATTGTCAACAAATGCATAAAGTTTTGCAGGAACAACTGACTATAAAAGAGAAGCAAGAAGAAGACATAAAAAGAAGAGTCAATCTTGCAGAAAAGGAACTAGAAATAACTAAAAGTATTCTGAATCAGACAAAGGAAGAGGTTGTAACACTGAAAAATGAAAGGTCAGAATCATTTCTCACAAAAATATTTTATGTTCAAGTCAGTATTCCATATATATATATATATTTGAAATATCAATGTTGTACATATTATAATAGCAATGAAATCATAGGATTAAAGATATATTTGGCCTGTAAGGTCATAGCATCCCCCCTACCCGACCTTATTTTATAAACGATGCAGCTAAAACTGAAGTTGATTAAATGACTTGGTGAAAATCTCACAGCTAGTAAAAGTAGAGATGGAAAGCAAGTTGCACTTGGCATCAGATTTTTATTGAAAAAAGTGAGACCACGTGTGATACTTGCACTATTAAATTTAACCTGGTCCAGTAATTGGTGGATTCTACTGTTACCCAATAAGACATCTTTTTTTAATATCACTTTTTTCTTTTATTTGTTCCCACTTTTCTCCTCTCCTCATCAGCTGTTAGCACATCTTATTGAGGGTTTATCACAAGCAAAGATACCTTCTTAGGTGGTATTAAGGATAGTTAGAAGTATTTTGGTCCAGCTTCCCAAAATATTTTTGTTCAATTAATTTGTCTTTATATTAACTTTATCTTCAGTAAATATTTCTTCCTTTTGTTTTCATTTGCTGGTTTGCTTTTGCACATTCTTTCTCATTTTTAAATGTTTATTTATTTTCATGTACTAGAAAGGCAGAGTGACACAGAGAGACAGAGTGTGTGTGTGTTTCCATCCACTGGTTCACTCCCCAAACGCCTACAACAACCAGGAGCCTGAAACTCTATTCACATCTCCCACCTGGGTGGCCGGGTCCCAAGCACTTTATCCTTCTGCCTCCCAGGATACATTAGCAAGAAGCCGGATTGGAAGCTGAGTAGCCAGGACTCAAATGATTATATGGGATGTGGGTGTCCCAAGCACTGGCTTAACCAACTGCACCACAATACCCATCCCAGCTCATTCTTTCTAAATCATTTTGTTTTAAATGCATAATTATATATAACACAAATTTTGTTTTTTGTTTTGTATTTAAAATCTGGGAAGTCTGTATTATAGATTATCCTATTTACATTTAATGATATTATATTTCCAAAGAACATAAGTTCTATAAGGTAGGACTTTTTGTTTTATATTATTCTCTGTGTACAGAAGGCATATGATAGACTGTTTGGTTTTCATTCTTCCTATCATTTTTTTTAAAGATTTACTTTATTTATTTGAAAGAGTTAGAGAGAGAGGTAGAGCCAGAGAGTGAGAGGTCTTCCATCTGCTGGTTCAGGCCCCAAGTGGCCGCAACAGCTAGAGCTGAGCTGATCCGAAGCCAGGAGCCTGGAGCTTCTTCCAGGTCTCCCACTTGGGTGCAAGGGCTCAAAGACTTGGGCCATCTTCTGTTGCTTTCTCAGGCCATAGCAGAGAGCTGGATCAGAAGTGGAGCAGCCAGGACTCAAGCTGGCACCCATATGGGATGCCAGCACTGTAGGCCAGGGCTTTTACCTGCTGCACCACAGTACCAGCCCCTTTTCTATCATTTTTATATTTTATTTTACTCATTTTCTGAGTATAATTTAGGAGATGTATAATCTTTTTTGTTCTTCTTTTAAAAAGGCAACTATTTGCTGAGGAAGACTGTAGAAGTAGGGCCAAGGGAATGAGTGACAGCTTAGAATTGGCTTTGTTGTCATCTCAAAACTCTTCCATACCAACAGTGTGCCCTGGGAGTCATATCTGTTTATATGTTAGGTTACCAAGAGGTCTGTGTAGTTCATAGAGAAACAAGGTTTGACTCTGGTCCTTTCAGGGAAGATTTTACATTTACTTCTCCTTGATTGAATTAGATGAACAACTGCAGAGCTGTTAACTCTTCATCATTTCTTTTTCATTCTGTGACACCAATAACCAACTGTATGCAAAGATGGTGTAACTTATACTTAGGTGACTCCATTTCCCCTCGCCTTATTTGCCTTTTCATGATTATGTAGTTGCTCAGCCCCATAGTACTTCAGAAGCATCAGTGTTTTTTTTTAAAGATTTATTTATTTATTTGAAAGTCAGAGTTACACAGAGAGAGGAGAGGCAGAGAGAGAGAGAAAGAGAGGGGTCTTCCATCCGTTGGTTCACTCCCTAATTGGCCACAACGGCTGGAACTGCGCCGATCCGAAGCCAGGAGCTTCTGCTGTTGCTTTCCCCGGCCATAGCAGAGGGCTGGATTAGAAGTGGAGCAGCCGGGTCTTGAGCCGGCGCCTGTATGGGATGCCAGCACTGAAGGAGGCAGCTTTACCTGCTACACTACGCCACAGCACCGGCCCCACAGAAGCAGCAGTTTTATAACCAGGTAACTTACTATTAAAAACCAGGGTTACTATTAAAAAGAAGGAATAACAACTGAAAGATTGAACATGCATAAGCAGAGAGAAAAAATATGTATGAAAATAAAAATTTGGGGGTTAGTATTTGGCCTAGCAGTTAATATGCCTTTGTCCCACACCGCAGTGCTAGGTAGAGTTCAATGCCCAGCTCCAGCTCCTTACTCCAGCTTCCTGCTAATGCAAACCCTGGGAGGCAGTAGTAATGGCTCAGGTAATTGAGTCCCTACTCTCCAAGTAGGAGGCCTAAATGAGTTCCTGGCTTCAGCTCTGGCCCAGCCCCAGCTGGCCAGTGTGGGCTTTTGGAGACTGAAACTGTAGATGGTGGGGGTTCTCTCTGTTTTTCAAATAAGTACATAATTTACATCAGTAATATTGGAATCTCCCTGCATTTGCAACATGGTTAATAACTTTTGGCCATAATGAGGACCCTGAGTATGAAAGGTTAAAATCAATTATGTATTTAATATAAAAGGCACAGAATAATAGATCTTTGTACAAACACAATGAAATAAGTACAAATTTTATATTTGATTAAAACTTCAGTTACTTGAGCAATCCCTGTATTATGTAGATTACCCTATTTCCAATGATTCCAAGATTAATTAGGCTTAACTATTTACTGAGATGAATATTATCTCCTTCACAGTAGTCATTGAGAAGATCCTATCTTTGTTCAAATATTTCTGGAACACTTCTCTGAGGATTTACTTAAGTATGCATGTTTTAGATAATCATTATGATAATGAATCTTTACATTTTAGGAATAAATTTATTATTTGAAGCCTTCTTACTTAGGTTCAAAGAAAGTAAGTTTGGTGAATATGATGGGAAACTGATCTAGAGAAATACCATTGCTTATTAAAAATAATATAGGGCCGGCACCATGGCTCACTTGGCAAATCCTCCGCCTGTGGAGCCGGCACCCCGAGTTCTTGTCCCAGTTGGGGCGCCGGTTCTGTCCCGGTTCTTCCACTCCAGCTCTCTGCTGTGGCCCAGGAAGGCAGTGGAGGATAGCCCAAGTCCTTGGGCACTGCACCCGCATAGGAGACCAGGAGAAGCACCTGGCTCCTGGCTTCGGATCGGTGCAGCACGCCAGCCCCATTGCGCTGGCCGTGGCGGCCATTTGGGGGGTGAACCAATGGAAAAGGAAGACCTTTCTCTCTGTCTCTCTCTCTCTCTCTCACACTGTCTAACTCTGCCTGTCAAAAAAAAATTTAAAAAATAAAAAAATAGGATATTTTCTTTCCCTCTCTCTTTCTCTCTCTCTCTGCTTAATACTGCTTAATAAATTATCTTAGGCTGTAATATAAAGGGAGTTTATGAATGTTTTGAGGATTAATAACACCAGTAGAATAAATACAGACCATTCCTGGGATTTGTTTTGAAATAGCTCAATCATTTGGAGATATATATGCTTTTGAAAGATTTAGTATTACTATAATCTTACCTTCTGTTATGGGTGTTGAATGAGAAGAGCAGTTACTGTCAACGTTCATAGAATATCAGTACATTGAACTACCTTCTCCTTGTCTTTTCCCTTCTTAATTTTTCTTTTTGCCCTTGTTTCTTCTTTGGCTCCTCTGCTTTATCCAGAAGCAGACATGATATTACTATCATTTGGTGCCATTAAGTTTACTGATATTCACTCTGTCATATAATAAGAACAAAAATGTGTTGTGGGCCAGCAAGTGACCATATAGTTAAAGAATTACTCCTAGATATAAGCATTGCTCATTATTGTTGCTGTTGTTGTTCTGGGCTACTTTCAGATTTTGTCTGCCTTGCCCTCTACTGTACCTCCGGAGCCTGCCACATGCATGCATTCAGTAAATATTTATGGAGTGAATGAATCACTTATTTTTAGTAATTCAGCCTGTCAGTCATTTATTGAGCACTTGTTATATGCCAAGTACTGTGTACCCTGGGGGGTAAAACAGTGATCCTAAAATGTCCCTTTCCTCATGAAACTTAAATTCTAGTTGGGGAGACAAACAGTAAAAAAAAAAAAAAAAGCTCACTGAGGCTGGTGTTGTGGCACTGTGGGTTAAGTCACCACCTGTGACGTTGGCACTCTATGTGAGTACAGATTTAAGTCCTAGCCACTCCTCTTCTGATCCAGCTCCCTGCTAACATGCCTAAGAAAGCATCGGAAGATGCCCAAGTGCTTGAGCCCCTGTCACCCAGGTTGCAGACCCAGATGATATCCCTAGCTCCTGGTTTTGCCCGCCCCACTTCTCCCCCTCTTCTCTGTAACTCTATTTTTCAAACAAATAAAGTAAGTCTTTTAAAAAAGAGAAAAATAGTCAACTGAGTTAATTATAGATTATGATAATGGACTTGAAGTAAATAAAGGATGTTTATAGTACAGACTTATAGAAGAAATGCTTGCTTTGGATATGATGGTCATAAAAGTGACTTCTTTTTTTGTTTATTTATATATTTGAAAGGCAGAGTAACAGAGACAGAGAAAGAGATACAGAAGAGAGAGATATCTTCCCTGCATTGTTTTACTCCCAAGTACCTGCAACACCCAGGGTTGGGCCAGGCCAAAGCCAGGAACCTGGAACCCCATCCTGTGCTTCCTCATAGGTAGCAGATAGTCAAGTACTTGGGTCAGTGTCTGCTGACTTCTAGTGCATTAGCAGGAAGCTGGATTGGAAGTGGAGT